GACTTTTATGTATTTGCCCAAAAACAACCAATTAAAGGCGAGTCCTTACAATTAAAAATTTTTACTCTTGATACAAGAAATACACCTCACAGTGGTTCATTTATGCATCAATTAAATGGGGACAAAAGAGATCAAATAGGAAAAGAACTACAAAATCAATATTGCTACTTATGGCAAAGAGAAGAAGCAGATAAAAAAATGGAGTTTGGCGATAAAATGCCTCCGAATATTTATAAAACAAAGCTAAGCAAACATACAGGGATTATAAACTTGGTATTAGCATCAAGCATCCAATCATTTCACTTGTCGAACTCAAACACCACACTACACCATTTGCTGGTTCTATACATTTAATTAGCGTTGACCCTTTTATAGTGCATTACTGGACTCCGACACAGATGGTAGTATATAAAGATGCATGTAATAGACATAATAAAAATTCCCAATTGTGTATAGACACCACTGGAAGTGTAGTAAAAAAATTTTCAGAACAAGCCAAGCATTGAAGTCAGCACATATTTTTTTATATGTTGCAGTGTTTCGTAATGTAACGCTACAACTCCCCGTAAGCCAAATGCTATCTGAATCACAAGATACACCAACAATTACTTTTTGGCTTAGTCAATGGCTTCGATCTAGAGCCCCATCTCCTACCGAAATTGTATGTGATTATTCAAACGCACTTATCGGAGCAATTACCARATCTTTTTGTGGTGGTATGTCAAAAAAACAATACTGTGAAACCAGTTTAAAAATATTAAAGAATAAAGATGCTAATTTACCTGAAGTCTATTTACGACTAGACATCGCACATTTTACAAAAATGGTATGTCGATGGAAATGTCTGCGAATAGATCCAATAAAATAATTTTTCGTCCGTGCCATAATATTATTAGTGCAGTGCAAGACAATAGATGAATTTTAAGATATATTTATAAAAATTACTGTAATTGCCTGTTCAGAAACTGATGGAATTCAAAAAGGTTCAAATATTGACTCTCCAGCTGAAATTTTTCGGAACGTGTTAGTATGTACAATAGAAGATAGAACCAATGTGTATGARCATATTATCATGAACAAAAACGATGAAACAGATAAATCAGACGGGTTGGATAATTTTGAARATGAGTATGTACGGAAAGACGAGAATACAAAAGAGATGGACGTCTTCTTACAACAGTTGGATAATAAAATAAATCAATTTTGTGAACTGCAAGGGACACGGATAAATGCGTTTTATGTACCTAAACTTAAGGATCAGCTAAACAGGATCGTAAAAGATTTCCTTATCTGGAGTAACGTTATGAGTAAATATCATAGCACATATTTTGTWACAGCAACTTCAGCCTCTGTAACTATTAAATCTTAGTTAAGTCCATGATAATACTAGAGAAAAAAATGTATGCATTAGGATGAGTAAGAAAATGCAAAAATAAACGCAGATGATATTAATATTTGCTTTTTATTTTTGACATGTAGACAGGGTGTCCCGTGAGTATTTACCCATTGCGATATCTCCCGAAATAATGGTGATATCGAAATTCTGGTTTTGTTATAAGACTCACAGGGATAAGAACTATAATTATTTCATATTTTAATGTTTTGGTAAAAGAGTTAAAAATATAATTTTCTTTGTTTATTTTTTTTATATATACAAAAATAAAAATTCTCTAATTTATTGTTTGTACCGAATATTACTATTTGTATTATAAAATTAGCTCAATAGATAACAAGTTTGATTTTATACTATATTTTATGTTTATGTTTTGTCAGAAACATTTTATACCCAAATATTAAAAACAGTTTTTATTCATTTCAGATTCAATTTTAATATACCCWACACACTTATTCGATACCTACTGAACAGTAGATCAGTATCCACTTTTCTATATGTAATGTTTCGTTATAAAAAAAACACATATTTTCGGTTTTAAGTAAATATTCAAAAAATTATAGCTATATTAAAAAAGGTAAAAATACAAATTTTTATGAATTACAATTTACSATTTAATTATTAAAAGATTTACTTTATTTATGTACCTAAATTAAAATTAAATGAGTTAAAGTATTTTTATATTTATATATTATATTGTCAGTGGTTCTCTTATAAGTTAATTTCAATCAAAACTTAACACCCTGGCAATAATAAATTCTATAAACAAACTTACAATTACTTACAAATTAAKCTAAACAACTTACAATCTGTCCGGTGTAATTTGGTAAAAGTGGGGGGCTGGTGTGAAGTTAGCCCCTCCAAGTTAATTTTGGCAATTAGTTCGAACTTATTAACTTACAAATTCTAAAAATCAACTTACAATTACTTACAAATTGAGATTTTCAACTTACAATTTACCCGGTTTAATTTGGACATAATAGGGGGACCAACTTCACACACGTTAATTTTATGGTTTAAAAATTATACATAGCAATTTTATTYTAGTGAAGATTTAACAATACTATGTTATAAATATTTACATTCGTCGACTATTTAAATAGAATCTGATTCCTCAAGCAAATTACTCATCAAGCAAATTACTCATCTGACCAAGACCAATGATATTATCTAYCTCAACTAAAAATTGAAAATAAATAAAGAAAAATAAAAAGTAGAATAATACATTTTTTTTATGATACTTGAACCCTGTGATTCAATTCCATGTTTCATCGAAAAAAAAACTTGTCAAATCGGAACAAATTTTATTATTTTTAATTTAGCCACTTTACAAAAAAACTAATAACGGTTCAAATTATGCAAGTTTAATCCTATTTTTTTCTTTCCACAATTCCACATGCTCAAATAGATTCGGCAGTTGACATAATGAATATTGAATAATAGTTGTTTAATTTTAATTATTCACAATATACATTTCACAGAAAATAACTTCACTGTTAACGTATGCATCAAGACAAAACATGAAGTGTAAAATAAACAATTGATCGCCGATCGCATACTGAACTTATAAACACGCATCATATATCACTTTTACTTATTCTATTTTTAGAATCATTGAATAAACCATTAGGTAATCTTTTACACGACTATATAGATTCTATGTAGTCGTGTAAAAACTGTAAACACAACTTATACAACAGTTGTTTTAATTTTAAATCGCATTACTAATTACACATTATATAAATCGACAATTTACATTCAATATTAAATAGTTACTCATTACTATTATAATGTTAAAATATTCCCAAGTATTATTCTATATTATTCGTATACGAAAAATTACATAGWTAACTCACCGCCACCCACCTCTAATTAAAGGTGTAGTAGGCGCTTTATTTATTCGTATGGCTTAACAAATCAACGTTACAGCAAATATACTTATTTTTATTGATGAGAAAAAACAAAAAATTAAACGATAAAATAAAATACAAAATTTAAAACAGAAATTAAGTCAAATTGAGATTGAAAGTTTATAAGTAGGGTTCGGAAGTTATAGGAGTAAAAAAGGCAAAATATGCAAGAAAAAATTATAAAATATGCATGAAAAAATGTGAAATATTCAAAAAAATGTACATATTTATTTAATTCAAAGTGTGTTACTTATTTATTAATATACCTACACGAAAAAAATTCTTAAGACATATATTTAAAAAAATTGTATTATTTAAAACTCTTATAAAAGTTAAATATAAAAAATAAATAAAAATATGGCGCGTTACCGATTGGCGTTTAAGATTTTATTGAACTGAAAGAATAGTTAAATAAAATAAATTTTCATGATTTGTGAAATACGAAATTAATATACGTTGAATAATACCTGTTAAGTTGTTTTTCGCTTTACTAGCGTTGTGTTATGTAACATTATTTAAAATAAATTGGTTAAGAATGAAAAAAAAAATGTTTGTTGAAAATATTAAATATGTATGCATATAAATATGCGAAAATCAATGAAAATCGAYGAAATATGGACTTTTTCTCTAAAATTATCGAAATAGGTATGCAAAATATGCATTTTTAATTTTCAATTTTTAAACTCAACATTGTATAGCTCGGAATTCTATCTTGGTCTGTTATAATTCGACAGCATACAGAACAATATGCAACTCCTATAATTTCCGAACCCTAGTTATAAGGATATATAACATATAATATAATGAAGTGTGAACATTGGCGCTGATGTCCAGCATTTAAAATCAACTTCAGCTGGCGCTACACTTCTACTATAGGATAGCCACCACTGAGGGTTACAAYGGTTGGTATGTTATTCATATTTTTGTWTTTATTAAAATGTTGTTATAAAAGAAGAAATAAATGACAAATTCTTTAAAAGTCCCTGTTRAATACGTCCATTTAATACCTTCCTTAGGTGATATATTTCTTCATCTCATCTGCAATAACATAATATAATAACATATGTATTACTGTATTAGGTATAATATCTGTTGAAATATTATATTGACGTGTTTTTATACATAKTCAAAAGTTATAACAGAAATTGATCTTTTTTAATTAAAAATATTTCATGTATAATATAACGTAATCTGATTTCAGAGCAATTTGAAGTTAAACGACGGCCACTCGATCCCGCCTCCCCCGCGTCCACCACCTCAAGCAACTGCAGCTGCATTGGCCGCTACGACGGCCCTTGCACAGAGAAATCGCACTCGGGCCATAAACATCGATCGGTTCTCTAGAGTCTTCTTTCCATTGCTGTTCGCGGTGCTCAACATGACGTACTGGTTCATATTCGCTCGGTTTTTATAATGTTATCTCGCAGAATATTACATTGTTGTACTACACACCCGCTAACAATACCTATCATCAAATTTTAATACGACTTAAATCTACTTTAATTTACTATCGCGACGCTGGTATTTAGGTACCTATATATACATAACTATTAGAGATATCTGATATACAGGTATAATACATATAGTATACCATAAAACTTAATAATAATAATATTGTATAATGGGAGATGGTAAATATACCATAATGGCATAATTGCCAATTTTAGCTTACTTGTAATTTGCATCACCAATAGGTACATTTAAGTGCATTGTACCTATAATCTGCGTTAAAATTAAAATAATAAGTAGCACCACATCTAAATATTAAGTTTGGTAACCTGTACTACCATATATAATGAAATGACTTAAAATTGTGTTATATGTGCCACACTTTCAATTTAAATTGTTGGAATATATGTGTTAAATTTATCGAGATCACAATTATTTCACATAAAACATGAAGAATAAATGGCATGGAATATTAAAGACATGAACAATTAGACAATTAATTATAATATTCCTTACTTTTACAAATTGTATTATTAACTAATGTATACCTCCAACTATAGGTAAATAATACAATAGATTAATTTTTTTTTATGAACATTTTAATAATTTTTTAGAAACTAACATGATTGACGAATGATTTAAAAATCTAATATATTAATAAGTTAAAAATTTCTATTCATTATTTTAAAATTAGGTATAATTTTTCAGAGGTGAAATATAGCTTAAATTACATTTTTATAGATACAAGATTGCAAAGATTACATAATTTCCTTTTATATTAGGTTTAATGTGATGCATATTAAAAAAGTTAATTTTTAGATGTGGTATAAATCTGATTTTTTTTTTATATTATTATTATTTTTTTTTTTTACCAAATTACATAGGCACGCCCAAAATAATAAATATCATACAATTTAAGATACACAGTGTAAACAGAAAGACTTGACAAAAAATATGCTAATTCAACATATAACAAAAATTGTTAATATTATATGGTAAGTAAATAATTTAAGAAATATACTCATGTCATCAAATTCTGAAAAATCATATTTTTAAACAGTTAATAGATTCCAAATTAATTTAACCAAAGATATATTGAATTTTAAAATTCTGAAAAATAAACTATTTATGACTTAGATAAATCTTTTTACCATCAAAATTGTTCTTTTAATCACATTCACAAACAAATTACTTTGAGTTTATCCAAAAACTTTTTTATTAAATGAATATTATTTTTATTTTCAGTACAAAAAAATGTATTATACATGTAACGTTAAGGTTACTTAATGAGCAAAAAAAAAAATACATATATGAATAAAAAATACTAATTTGAACCAAATTAATTCCAAAAGTCAATAGAAAAGTTATATCTGTTACATCTTGTATATTTTACCTATACTGGCTGTAAAATATTTTAAAATACCTTGTCGAAATTGACCAATCAATTGTTTATGAATAACTGATCATCGCAGTGTTTAAAAACAAAATAATAATGTTCGAAAATCTAATTAATTTTAATCTGACAGTCAATGTTCAGTAAATTTTCAATAGACGCCAATCATATAATCATATTCAACTCTGGACTGTATACCTTATGCTATGCTGTTTTTCAAAAGATTAAACATTGAATGGATCAATACCTATTAGTAAAATTGAAATTCAAAAAAATACATTTTCTTTTTTAACAACCTATTCAAAATGTCTTCAACACGCAGTTATACCAATAACAAAATCAATAGTTTAAAAAATTGTGCTAAAAAAGTAAAGATTTAATATTTTGAGTTCAATTCTGTCCATCTGAAATTTTTGATAGAAAAAATCACGTTTTCAGCGAAATTTGATACATTATATTATCATATAACGTATATGTTTAACATCCAAAATAAATTAGTACAAAATTCTATGTATATTTGATGATAGTTTGATATCAAATATTGGATTCAAAGTGAAGTACTCTAAGTTTCAAAATTGTTGGTTAATCTAGCATTGTGATGATATATGTTTTCGTAGTAACTAAACCAAATCCAAGATCAAAACAGTTATAAAACCGCTTGGGTTCTCTGGAATTTTCAATAGTTTGTGGATAATTTCTAGAAAAATATGGAAGAGGTCGATTATCGGAGCATAATAAATGGCTCAAGAGGGGAGTCAAACCCCATAACCCCGGCACCCGTGAGTATGGGCATGGTAGGTATACCTATGCAACTATGACAACAAATTTTCGATTATTTTTAAATCTGATCAACGATAATAATTGATATATAGTAATTTTACAAACGTTCAATTGGTAGTTATTTTTCGTTTACTTTTTTTTTTGACGTCCTCTAATATTAATCGAACAAATAATATTACCCATGAATATTAGCTTTAATATCGGCTACAGCGGCTGTAGTCTACCTATAGGTATACAGGTGAGTTCTGTTTCACTCAAAATTTACTTTTGCCGTTCCAACCATATTATATCTGCTTTGACGAAAAAAAATTTTAGTTGTTTTAAAAATATTAAGTTGGTACCTAATGGGTTTTAAATATTTTAATATGGGCAAGACCTCGTTCGCCCAAAAATGACACTTAGCTTTTCACCCAAATATTTTAAAACTACTTTCCCTTTTCACCCAAGAATATTATATAGCACTTTTCGACTATATTTTTATAATACACACTTTGGGAATCACTTACTTTAAATTATTTATACCTTATATAATAATAAATTTGTCATATTTAAATTATTTATTTGTGTTAATTAGTTTTATAAAGCCATTAAGCATTACCCAGAGAGTACCACTAGGAGGCGGCTTTTGTTACTCTCCAAAAATGTAGGTATTGTGCTTTTGTACATTGATATAAATTGTATATGATATAAGAGTAAATTTTTATCAAAAGTATAAATCGTCCAAATTTTGATGATATAGCGTTAAATAGAATAGTTAAATGACATTGATTTAATAAAATCATACCGGTTAATTGTTTCTATTTTMTATTTTTGTAGTTTTTCTTCATTTTTTCGCTGTCGGTCTATGCATTTTTTTTTATCTTTTGGACACCTTTGTAAATGCACAATATTTAATTTAATGTATACTTCAGTTTGAATTTCATTAATAACACTTCACCAGGCATTTATTGGTGGAGAAATATGATTAAAATTGTTATTAAAAAAAGAATGCAAAGATTCACACGCGTTAGTTCTTATTAATTCCGACGTATTAGATGCCCAAATCTTCAGAGATGTAATAAGTGTCGGTTAAATAGTCACAGCAATTTGTTAATTTATCATTTAMYGGACAGTCAGATAGTAGGTCTTTTCAAAACAATTTGATACTTATCTGGATTTAAAAATACTAAACCAAATGTATACCGTATCCAGTTACCAATTTCTGAAGATTCATTTTTATAGAAAAAGTTAAACCACACTTTTAAATATTTCTCCACCATGATAGAGTTAAATGAAATCGGCATCCAATTATTGTTGTATTCGGCCAGACCTTTTCAATAGMTTTATGAATTGCTAATTTGAAATCAACGATACCTTTTTTGGAGAGGATAAAAAACCAAGTGTATTACACTTTTCAATAATCATGGTAAACACGAATTCATAAGTTTTGACCGATTTATCAATGAGCAAACAAAATAGTAATGGCATATAATGTCCATTTTTTAAATCCATGTAAAGTGAACATTTGATTATGTTATATATATATTATAACATTTGGCTCAAAAATAATACATTTTTTTTTCACATGAAAAATCAATACATTTTTATTTTTATAATTGACTAATGAAAACGACTCTCTTCTAGTAGTAATTATTTTTTCTGTATCAATAAGGGTGTGCACTTCATTAATATTAGTAGGATTAGGTGGGAAAACACTTTTACGAACTGTATAAATGTTTTTCTCAGCCTATTAATATCATTTTCAGTAAATGTTGATGCTGCGTGGTCATTATTATAAGCAATTTCCTTTAATACTATTTTCCGGTTGTATATGCACATCTTCTACAGCTTTACGTTTACATCCAACATTTACAATTTGACGATGAATATTTTTTATACCGTAAGATTTCGTGATTTTATTCTCCAGTTGTTGAAAGAAAAATATCATTCTTGTTTGAAAATATTAGTGCACTATAAGTTCTCATAACACATCTCAAACGAGTGGAGTCATCTTTTTTACTTGTCGATTTAAAGTTATACTTAAAATTATTATACACTACCATACGACATCCTCGTTTACTTTCTAAGAATTCCATAATTTTATTTAAATGTACAAAAATAATAAAATCGACAACAATGTTTAATAAAAAATAACTGTCGAAAAACGCACTCCAACAACGAAACTGCAGATATGTATGTACAAGGCTAGTATACAATTATTATCTTCTTATCTTTGTAGAATAATAATCAGATTATACTGAGATCGATATAACTAGACGGCTGACCATTGTAAAAATAATATACTTATAGTTTCCGAATATTATAAAGATAAGATTAAGATATTCAGCGGTTCTTTGTAGATATATGTTAGACATAAATAATCAATGTCATTTAACTATTTTATTTAATACTATATTAAGAAAATTTTGACGATTTATAGTTTTGATAAAAACTTACTTATATTATATGAAAATTATATTAATGTACAAAAACACAATATACATTTTTGGAGAGTAATAGAAGCCGCCTTCTCGTGGTACTTTCTGTGTAATGCTAAATGGCTTTATAAAACTAATTAACACAAATAAATAATTTAAAYATGATAAATGTATTATTATGAAAGGTATAAATAATTTAAAGTAAGTGTTTCCCAAAGTGTGTATTATAAAACTTTGGTAGAAAAGTGGTATGTAATATTCTTGGGTGAAAATGGAAAGTAGTTTTAAAATATTTGGRCTAAAAGAGACGTGGGAAAAAAGCGAAGGGTCATTTTGGGTGAAAAGAAAACCATCCTTTAATACACTATCAAGGTTGGACKAGGCCACCGGGTTATCGGGGCATGCCCTGGTTGCCACCGGCGAGCCGCTGGTCGCTGTAATTTTAGTTAAATTAGACCATTTAAATTTGTTGTGTTTAATTTAATACGTCTATTTTCTATTATTATAATAAAATAAAAAATGCCACGCTAATGACATCACTAATGGTATGCACT